ACTTCCCGAGTTTCAATTATTTCATAACTTTCCCGTATTTTCAAAAGTCCCCATAGAAACTATGTCTATGGTGTTATCAATGGAAGGTCACAGACTCGACAGCCTTTGAAAAGCATCAGACCGTGACTTCATTACATTAAGGGTGCAAATTGAAATTAAAAATGAGAATCAAACCAGCAACACACACGCTGGAAGATGTTATATGAAACCTCGATTTCTTCCTCTCGTGTAACAGACAAATAAGTCCGCTTCGTTCACGTGGATTCAAAGATTCGAGTCCTCAAAGAATCTTCATTAACAATTCCCGGTGTAGCGAGTGAGTTAAATACCACAGACATTTGTCCGAGTACTTGCTCACCAATGGCGACGATGCTGCGGCAATTACTCTAATTAACCGAACGAAGTCGGTTGCAACTCGTAAAACTCTGTCTCGTTGTTTCAAAACGAAATTCTCTTCTCTGGTGAAATGAATCGGTCAGATAGAAGAAGACATAAGGAGATGTCAAATAGTACAGATGTCGAACTGTTGGTGCGTGAGATACAAAATGAAAGAAGCTTGCAAGGTTAATTAGGGACGTGGCGATTTGGGTATGTGAGAATTTTGGGTGGAGGGATTTGGGGGTGGAGGGATTTGGGAATGGAGGTATTGGGGAAGGTAGGGATTTGGGAAGGTAGGGATTCGGGGGTGTGGGGATTCGGGGGTGCAAGGATTCGGGGGTGCAAGGATTCGGGGGTGCAAGGATTCGGGGGTGTAGGGATTCGGGGGTGTAGAGATTCGGGGGTGTAGAGATTCGGGGGTGCAAGGATTCGGGAGTATAGGGATTCGGGACTGTAGGGATTCGGGGGTGTAGAAATTCGGAAATGTTGGGATTCGGGAATGTAGAGATTCGGGGGTGTAGAAATTCGGGAATATAGGGTTTCGGGGGTGTAGAAATTGGGGAACGTAGGAATTCGAGGGTGTAGAAATTCGGGAATGTAGAGATTTGGGGGTGTAGAGATTC